AGACGGGGCAGAAGGGGTGGGGAAAGGCCACCCCCTTCCCGGGCAGCTCGCGCCCGCCAGAACGTCTCACAAGCACTGAGCCGCTGCCGAGCGCGCCAGGAGCCTTTATAGCGCCGCGGCCGGCGGGTCACGTGCTTCCGCGCGCAAAGCCCGAGCTCTCCCACGCCTCGCTTGCGCGCCGTTCGAGCGCGGGTTTGGAGCTGCGGGACCGCCCCGGCCGGCTGCTGCTCTCGAGCGGCTCCTTCTTGCGCGCGCGCTAGTCCGGGCCTTTGGTTACGCGCGACGAGGCCAGAAGGACCGGGGGGCCCCCCAGTTGTCAGCGCTCCCGGCCGGCCGGCCGGCCGGCCCGCGCGCGCCATCTTGCATCCGGCGGGTTCAAGGCTTTCCGCCCTAGAGGGCCCAAGTTGGGAGGGCTGGGAGCCGGCGACCCCCCAAGCAGCGCGGCTGAAAGGCTCGGCGGCTTAAATGTGCATTTTCTTAAAAGTGGCAAGCGGGGAGGGGGCATGCCCGGGGTGCCACGAGCCTTACCTTCCACTTTGTCCTTCTCTCCATCTCTAGGAATTTGTGGAAACCCGGGCAGTAGTACCTGTTGCAGCTTCCCGGGCAGCAACTCCTGATGCCGAGCTCGGGTATGGAGGACGTTTTGCTCCGACCCACGTTAAGGCTTTAGCCTCCCTTCGGGCAGGTTTGCTTGTTTCTCTTTGTTTGTTTTGGTGACAATGCTTGCAAACGCGATTCAGGCTTTTGCCTGTTTAAGACCTTAGGTGAAGGTAAAGACCTTAGGAACAGCCTAATTCCCAAGTCAGTTAAGGGAATTATTTTTGGAAGACTGTTTGCCACAGAAGTTCGGCAACGACGGCCAAATCCAGAGGCATTCGTCTGTGCGGCCTCATCCGGTGCGTGGCTACTCAGAAATCGGCGATCCTGAATTCAGCCAGCTGACAGGGCGTATAAAAGGACTGTCGCCGCCGTTCCATCGGTCTGAATAAGACTGGGCCCGAGAGCAGAAGCTCGCCCAGTGTGCTTCCAGGAAAATCCTACTGTCACTTTTCAACATGGATGGAGTGGATTAATAGGATTTCCAACGGGATATTCGTTCAGATAAATACTTAATGCCTCCCTCTCTGCGTTGTGGATCAGGCTGCAATAAGGCAATCCGCCGTGAGTTCAGGAGCTGCATCAGTCCAGGGTGAACCTTAAAATAATTTATTTTGAAATGGAGGGGGCGGGGAGGGTAGGAAGAAGGGTTTATGAGGGAAATCCGATTCTAGAGCACGTTTTTCAAAGGCAGGTTCCCAAGAAGGTAATCCGGGATCATGAAAATCGTTACATTATTCCATTGCTGTAGAAGATGTTGCACCCAGTCCCCCAAAATCGTTACATTATTCCATTGCTGTAGATGTTGCACCCAGTCCCCCTCACATTTAAATTTTTGGCGTAGTCAACTACTCTAACTGGCCGCTGCTTGTTATTTGCAATGGGACAATTGTATTTATGTGTAAATGCCACATTTCTTCCACGGGGGCATGTATCGCTCTCTCTCTTGCCCCTGTGTTGCCTTCATAAACAATCTGGTGAGTCAACTTAAGGTAACTACAAGCTCCATGGATCGGGATTCGAGCCCCATGCTTCTAGTCCTGTTTTAACCACTACACTGGACCGGTACTTGAGAGCAAACCGGAAGCATCCTTCGCCAGTGATTATTTCCACTCGTTTGCGTGGATTATTGCCAAACCCTGGGACCACCTTTTTCCTCCGGGGCATATTTTACCATATTGCATTAATTCCGTGTAAGAAGTATATATAACATCCTCCCAGAAATGCCAAAGCTCGGAAACAGCAAGAAGCTCGCGGTGCGTTTGAACTGGAGGCAATCATCATTTGGACCACCACCCCATGCAAATCACGTGAGCACTTGAAAGGGCCTTAAACGTTGGGGACTCTCTCTCTCTCTCTCTCTCTCTCTTTGGTCCACGCAGCTAGCTGCGTGGTATTTCTGAGATTATTTTTAAAGCCCTTTTCTTACTTAGCATAAACTTGTGTATACGTGGGGAAAAGTCCCATTGAAAAGAACAGGAATTTACTTGCAAAGCAGGGTTAGTATGTTCAGGACCGAATGATTGGAAGACATATCCTTTCCACTGACCTGAAGATGGTGGAAGACTAATGCAAAGGGGAAACAATCTCCCCTCAAGCTGGAGAGGGGCAAAGTCTTGAGACGCTTTCGTATCCATAAAATTAAAAAGGACTGGATTCGATAGGATTTCTTTCCCAGTCACAAGATCGTCTGGCAGATCGAGAGGTTTGTAACTGCTGAAGGCCTGTTACGATCCAAGCCGCTCAGAGGAGGAAGCGTAGTCCTCGATTCCCCATCTCCCACCTGGTACTAAACTTACCTGGCTAAGCGTGTAGGAAATGCATACCCGCCAAGTTATGAGAAGAAAACTCGGCTGGCTTTTAAAAATGATATTTGCAAACCTCCTTCTCCCGGAATCTTGGCAGACACATTAAATGAATCCCCTCCACAACCCAAAAAGCAGAACACTCAAAGCACACATTTCAGCCTCGAAAAAATAATCGTTGAAAAGGACATTAGTAAGTTTGGAATGTATGACTCTAGGCAGCGATCCCTGCTTCCATTGCCTCCTTCTCCTCCGCCTTCCCGCGGTAATTCGACGAGTGGAAAGGACCAGCATTTTTTATTCCTCCTCTTAGCAGGCTGCGTTCGTGTCCTTCCCAACCGACTGGTGCTGCTGATCTAGCGGGTATTTTCCTTCTCATCCGCCCAGTCCTCAGCCCAGTCACCGGCTCTGCTGCCTTTCGTGAGATTTTTCAGAGGAATAAGCGGTCTGTCTGCAGATTAGAGAAAATCTTGGACGTGATGGTGGGAATTTCAATAGCCGTTACCTGTTCATCGATTTTTGAAGGAACAATCTTCAGGATAATGTGGAACCCTATACCCCTTTTGCTTCTGCCTTTATTTTGCTTGTGGCGACTTAAATGCCAATGTTTCTGATCAGTATATTCATCTTTATATTTTAATTTTCGTTCCTTTGTGGCCTTCTGATACACGTATGTGACAGTATCTGTGTACTGCTTGCTGAAAGGGAGCGTCGGGGGGGGGGAATTAACCCGGCACGATTCCTAACGGTTCCAGAAATTTTGTTAATGCGAAGGAAGAGGTAAACGGTACCCTGGGGCGCTGGGCTGCCTTCTTAAGACGGCAGCCGCTCTAGGTTTGCAGATCTGGTCCAGTGGCTGAGAGATGCCGACCACACACATCGCCACGTGTCTGCTTTGTTTCGCGGGTAGACATTTCATAAAGCAGCAAAACCGGGAACCTGGAATAGAAGCCGACGTTGGGCTTAAATAAATCCAAGCGAATTTCCTGCCAAGGAAAAGACAGGGGCCGGCTTAAATCAACGCGCTTTTGGCTCCCGGGTTGCTGCCTTAGAGGTAAATCGCTTTGAAATCAAAGGCGAACATTGCTGGGTCTGATTCGTCAGGTGTAGCTCTAGGTAGTCTCTGTCCTGGCACAGCAGGGCATCTAGGACGGGTCCCTTCCGGAGAACTCAAAGGATCTGTGGGCCAAGCGAAGCGCCTGCTGTTGCTGCGCGGGAATCCTTTAGCCATGAAGGGCGGCCGCCTGTAGTTAGCATGAGGTAGTCAAGAAGACCCTCGCTTCCTTTAATCTCTGTCCTCACCTGGGCTCAGAAAGGAAGCCAAAAGAGCCAGCAGTAAATACCCGTTTTGCTTTCCCCAAGAGGCTCCGTCATTCTAGCCACTTCTGGCTAAGCCTGACCGAAAAGCAAGAGGCTGCCGCCCCAAGACGGTGGGCGCTCTTACCGAGTCCCAAGGGTAAGGAGGGGAAAGTAAACTAGGCCAAATCCAGCGGAGCCGAGTCGGAGGACGCTGGGCTGCTGCCCGTATGGTCAAGTAGAGGTAAGTAACCAGGTGCCCGCCAGGTGTTTTAGACCACAACCCCGGGATCCTTGACAATGGCGGGCTGAGGGCTTAGGGGTCTTGGGGTAAGGGTGGGGTGTAGCAATTTCTTTATCCCTGTTGCAAAGGGCCACAAGTAGCACCTTTAAGGCGCAAGCTTCCCAACTCCTTAGTAGAGACAGTGGGGCAATGGACCTGGAAATATCTTCACCCATGAATGGACTGCAAACCCTAATTTAGCTAGACTTAATATTTAAGGGAGCAAATCCCTATTCGCTTCGCTTCATGAATATACATTATTTCTATGCATTTGAAGAAATGGACAATAGTCCAAGGAAGCTGGTATTACGCGTAGAAGTGTCACATGACTCCTCTGTTGCGTATACGTCATTAATATGAAAGCTGTCCCTGGAGTCCTCCTGATTTGAGGACGAACGGGAACGCTTCTACTACTCCTGTTGTCAACTACCTCAGACCTTAAGACCTAGACACAGTTTGATATATCAAAGTCAGCCAATGCTTCACTCTGGCCGGATCACACTTCGAGGTTTTAAAGGAGGGCATTAAGCTCAAGGCAGCTGGATCCCTGGTTGGACAGTGTCCTCGAAGCGACCAACATGAATTTGACACGACTCTGGGAGGCAGTGGAAGACAGGAGGGCCTGGCGTGCTCTGGTCCGTGGGGTCACGAAGAGTCGGACACGACTGAACGACTAAACAACAATAACAAAGTTGCAACAACAACAACAACAACAACAACAACAACAACAACAGCTGGATCCCATCCACGAAGTTACTTAGAAGTGAGATCCCATTAATCTAATGGGATTTCCAGCGAACTCAGTACAGTATTCATAAAATTGAAGCCTAAGCCAATTCTACACAAGCTTACTTCTGAGAAAAAGTAGAGAAAAGTCCCACTGCACTGGAAACAAGGCTTAACTCCCGGGTTTTTCTGTTCTCTTTCTAAATGTATGTGCAGGTGGGCCAAACTGTAATGGAAATCTGAATACAGGTAAACAGGAAGAAGAAATGTGGTGTTGGGGGGAGAGCTTTATGACTACCTTGGACTGCCAGAAAGAAGAAAAACTGGGTCCTAGAGGGGAAAAAATGGATAAGATTGAGGCTTTCACATTTGGCCCATCCAGAGAAAGCAGGATTCTCTGTAAAAGAGGGCGGCGCTGGGAAGCGCTGAGGGCAGTAGGAGAAGAGGAAGTCCAAATATGAGGTGGATGGTCTTCCTAAAGGAAGCCACAGGCTTGAGTTTACAAGAGCTGAGCAGGGCTGTGGGAGGACAGGACATTCTGTAGCTCTCTCACTCACAGGATCACGATAAGTCAGAGGCGATTTAGTGGCGCAAAATAAGAAAAGTAAAGAATGCCGACTTCCCAGTACTAAACAACTATGATGTACTGAAA